GAGAGAGAGAGAGAGAGAGAGAGAGAGAGAGAGAGAGAGAGAGAGAGAGAGAGAGAGAGAGAAATGATGAAGTGCCTGTCATTCGCGTGCACGTGTGTGTGTGTGTGTGTGTGTGTGTGTGTGTGTGCGTGTGTGTGTGTGAGCTGTGTGTTATCCATCCCCAATCCGTTCAGCTAATCGACATGCCAGATGACATCATGTGTTCCCGCCGATTGGCTGTCGTGTGTGAGGTGCATGCGGCTAAGAGAGTGATGGCGATGGCGAGATTGGGGAGCAGAGCAAGGAACAGGAGGGATATCGAGACGGCGATGGGGAGAGGTTGGGTGGGGAATGCATGGGGGGCAGGCTGCTGTACTGGGCAGAACTGGTCCATCTGCGAAGTGCCTAGATGTGTGGCCTGGGTATTGTCGATGGCTACTGCAGGCCCCAGGACCCAAAGAGCAAGGGGCATTACCACTTCCTCCTCGTCACGTTGCTCCTCGTCATGATCCCAGTCCGCGAAAAAATCCATTCCTCCAGTCACTTCACTGCCCGACGTACACCAAGAGTCCCAGTTGTTAGAGTGCCGCCACATCCATCACTACAGATGAAGCCGAAAGCGATGAATAGTGAGTCCCACATCGCTCATTAAAATAGTCGTGGATGACCCTGGGCGGCATCAGCTGAAGGGACCCTTGCGGAAAAAGCCTTGCGCAATGGCCGTTCGTACGATCACAAAAATCCATCGGTCAACCGGAGAATTATGTAGGAAAAACGAAAAAAGGAAAAGTTGAACAAGGGAAAGGACAAAAAAACATAACAACAAAAAAAAGGGAACATGAGGGATCAGGGACCTTGTCCCACTTGCACCGTTTAGTTGAGGCAGCTCAACCGTGCGACAGCTAAAAAAATTCATTTTAATTCAATTTCAAATGAGAAATGCATTTATAAATGGCAGGAATACAATTGTTCTCGTTTTTCATTTTTCACAATTGGAGTGGCATACGGGCACTTCCACAGCAGAAAATGAAGAGGTGCCCCAATCCCGTCCAAAAATGACAAACCGAAGGAGGCTCGTACAGTTTCTCTTGAAAAACGCCTGTTGGGGGAACAAGAGGGTCGTCGAACTGGCTGTCTCGAAAAAAGGAGACAGCTAGTTCAACGGAAAGTGGCGAGGGTAGGGTTAGTAGTATTCGAGAGAAAGGATTTATTTCTGTTTTTTGTTGTAAGAAAAAGCGAAGATGGTCTCTATCACCTTTTTATTAAAAACGGACCGTTAGATGAATTGGACGACGTGCATCTCCCTTGTCGCGTGCAGTCACACAGGCTCGAAACCTCCACGTTGACCTAGCTCAACTGAGCTAGTGGGACAAGGTCCCAGGAGGACGAGAAGAAGGAAAAAAGAAAAGAAAAAAAAAAAGAAAAAAGAAAGAAAAAAAAAAGAAGGAAAAAAAGAAAAGGAAAAAGAAAAAAGGAAAAAAAGAAAGAGGAAAAAGGAAGAAGGAAACAGACAACATGTCGAAGGTAATGTGTCCCAATGTGACGGCCCCGTACTGGTCGGGCGGAAGTATCCACCCATGGGACAAGTTCTCATCGCCGGTCCTCGAAATGCCAATGTGTTGCTTTTGAAAAAAGCGCGAGGTGCTCCCCACTCAATTCCCGCCCTTTGCGCACCCAGTGCTCTGGAAGGGAAGGGGGTCAAATCTTATCCCCCTACGGCAGTTCTGGTAAAACGTCACACCGAAAGTGGCGAAGGGCATTTCGGAAGGTTTCGTAGACACCCGAGGGGGGCGGGCGTGCCGATCTTGGTGAGGCTGCTGCATCGCCGGGGGGAGCACCTGTCTGAAGACAAAAGAGAAAAAAAAGAAAAAGAAAAAGAAAATGAAAATGAAAAAAATGAAAAAAAGAAAACGTACAAAAGCAAAAAAGAAAAAGAAAAAGAAAAAAAAGACAGAAAAAGAAAATAAAGAAGACGAAAAAGGAAAAAGAAAGAGAAAAAGAAAAAGAAGAATGGGCATCTTCAATCCACCAGCACGACCAGACAGGGGGGTCGGCAGGGCATGATGAAAAGAGTTCTGATCACGGGATGCCAAGGCATCATGCGGACCCTGGGACAGTATCCGGCATGCCACATCTACAGAGGTGAGAGGGGAAAACAAAAGGGCATTGCGTAAAGGAAGGTCTCATGCTATGGAGTGACCTACCATCCCTTCGCTTACCCTTGCTGGCTCAAGTAGGGTCTGTTCTCCCCCTTCTTCGTGTTTGTGCGTGCGTTTGCATGCATTTACAACCTGCGTGTGTGTGTGTGTGTGTGTGTGTGTGTGTGTGTGTGTGTGTGAGAGAGAGAGAGAGAGAGAGAGAGAGAGAGAAATGAAGTGGCCACCATGCGCATAGCCATAGAGGTGCGCTGAAAACATGCACCCTAGCGGTAGGGGCATATTGAAAATTTTGGTGCTGACACCGAACAGCTATCCAGTAGGGGTATACTGCAAATTTGGAACGGGTACCGGTAGGGGCATAAGAAAAACATTTCAGGCCCAGCCGACGCTGGGGTATTATGGGAAATTTGAATCGTGCTCAGAGGGGCACAACAGGGTAAGTGGGCTATCGGAGGAGCTCGACGCAAAATAATGGAAATTACAGGGGGGGCAGCCAAATTTTCCCTTTTTTTCCTTTTTTTTAATTCTTTAAGCCTAACCAATTCAATTACCTGACAGGACTGCCTTTCAGGCGTTTTTTATTGTCATTGTAGTATGACGGGGAACCCCGTAGCAGCCACATCCATGCTCAAGCCTCCAACGAGGGAACATGCGGGAGCTGCACCCACCAGCAGGTGCGATACCTGCTACATCAGGTGGGCGATACCGGCCAGGACCGAGCTTCTTGGATGGGCCAGTCATTATGCCTCCCCTCCAATCCCCTTCCCCTATGAACCAACGGGATATCTCTAGGTGGCGGGCGCCAAGCATGCCCGGGGAGGTACATGAGTCCAATGGGGATTGAACCCAAGACCTCCTGAATGCCACTTGCGTGCCTTACCAACTGAGCTAGGCTGCTGGATTGAGCACAGCTTTTCGGGATTGTGGTACCTATACTATATTCATGTTTTTGAAATTTATCTCAAATTTGGTTGGGAATTTCAGCAGGACCATCAGGCAAAAGTTGTCGGTATTTGAGAAAGTCGCCTGGTTAGGCAAGGAAGTGGCATTCAGGAGGTCGTAAGTTCAATCCCCAATGGCCACCTGAGGCACTCTTGGTGCCAACTAACTGCGGTGGTTGGCTTGCTTCCGCGTGTATGGGCGAGTGCTGACCGTAGACACTTTGTTACTCGATGGGGGCAAGGAAAAGTTTTTCCTTTTTCTTTTCAAATGGAAGTCACGGAAACAAGGGGGTCGGCTCTTCCTGGAAGCGTCCAGCATCCCAATACCAATGCAATCTTCAAAAAACAGGGAAATAAATTCAGTTTTAACTTCTAAATGCGTTTCAGTCAGGGTTTCGCAAATTTTGTTCCGAAGCGAGGAAAATTGTGAATGTATCCAACCCAGCTTTAGGGTTGGGTGGGGATGTGTTATATTGGAGGGAAGTCGGAAGTGGATTTAGAACTGACAATGTGACTCCGCCATAGTTGCCCCCAAAATAAAACAATTGGTGATGGGGAGATCAATGATCAAACTAACTACCAACAAAGATTGGGAGCCCTATCCAGCTGCAGTTTTAGAGAAACAGCTATACAGCTAAACAGCATCTATCAAAGATGTGAGCTAAATAACTTGTATCAGAGATGTGCTCTGGAGTTGGTGCAGCTCCCCACCAATAAGATTGGAGCCATTTATAACAGGAAAAAAAAAAAAAAAAAAAAAAGTGCTCTAGATTGACCTCGATGACCACCTGGAAAATAGTGAATGCCCAGTGGGCACCAGGCTCATCAGGCTCGCTTTGAGCTCAGACACAACCAAGGGCTAACCACCAGTTTCCCATCCACAGTAACTGCAACTATTTGATTAAGAATTGTTCATGTCCTTCAAAACCACAACCCCTTTCCTCTGCGAATCTGCAATTACCATCAATGTAATTTGAGCTTTGATCAAAGATTTCATTAGGTTTGTGTGCATATGCTCATCCCTGAATATTTTGTGATTTTGGCTTGCCACAACACATTCGTAATAGTTTGTCTACAAACATGCACCACGTATCCCCATCCTGAGTTGATTGCCATCGTACAGTTGCTGCAGGTGGAAAGTATCGACGAAAAATCAGACCATGGAACAGAAGGACCCATTAGTTAGGCCAGTGTTTCCGTCGCCACTGCCAAATCTGAAGGGAGTGCGGGCAACCAATCCACAAGTGGGAGGTGTTCTCCGAGAGATAAGAACAATTCAATGCAACAATC